AATATCTTGTCATTGTGGATGCATATTCCAGCTATCCGGAAGTGATACCTCTATCAAGCCAAAGCAGTAAAGCTGTGATTAAAGGTATGAAAGTAACTTTCGCCAGACATGGCATTCCTGATATTGTTCATAGTGACAATGGACCATGTTACAGTAGTCAAGAGTTTGCTGATTTCAAGACCAAATGGGGATTTAAACATGTTACCAGTAGTCCTCATTTCCCGTCCTCTAATGGGTTAGTCGAGAAGGCTGTCCAGACAGTAAAGAATATTATAAGCAAATCAATTGAAAGCGGAACAGACCCGTATCTCGGACTGTTAGCATATAGATCAACACCACTTGACAACCATAAATCACCAGCTGAGTTACTGATGGGAAGAACACTTAAAACAGATCTTCCAGTTGTAGAAAACCAGCTCAATGTTAAAGATTCCAAAGCAGTTGTTGCATGGAAAACAAAGAAAAAAGAAATCCAGAAGGCTTATCATGACAGAGAAGCCAAACCTTTGCCACCACTGAAGCAAGGTGAGATGGTGAGAATCTACGACCAAAAGAAGTTGATGTGGGGAGAAAAGGCAACGGTGAAAGAAAAGATTGCAATTCGTTCGTACACAGTGGAAACCAAGGACAAAGTTCAATACAGACGAAACAGGAAACAATTGAGAAAAATTACCTCGGGGCACAACGAAACGAGCGGAGAAACAAGTCGAGACAAAGTCGTTACCCTCGAATGAAGTATCAAGAGACAGATCAAGATATGGTAGAACAATAAAGAAACCTCGTAGATATGAACAATACACTTAACAGATAAGTAAAGCATGTTAGGACTTAAGAAGAACTTAGTAGTTGTTATAAGACTTCAATTTTAAAGTTGACTTTATCTCATGAGAGTAGACGGTGTTCAAACTGTTGATTAATATTAACTTTCTTATTGTATGCGGAATGTAAGGATATCACGTGACTCATGCATGCGAGCACATGGGACGTCGAAGGAACGTTGAACAAGGACTGAGTATAGTTGAGTTATCAAGTAAAGTTAAATGTAGTTTATACGGCATAAGATAAATAAAATATATAACGTTACAGGACGTAAGTCGCTTTCAATTGATTGTGGTGGGGTTACTTTCGGTATGGGAGATATAATTGAGGATTTAAGTAAATCTGGTATATATGCTTCCTTAATGGACTGATTGTAAATATCCTGAATGACCGGAGAAAGCTCCGTAGCAAATTCCGGTCCAACATATTTGGCTACTTGTAGAGATGACAATGATCGATAAACCTCTGCTTCAGAAACAAGGAACTCGTTTGGGACATGCTGAGTTGGACAAAGAGGCGATAACGGTGAAAAGTTCTCAGTTATGCTCAAGAAGAAGTCATTGCCTCTATCTGCGAGTATCTTAACATTCCCATTGTCACCAAGAAATTGATAATGCCACTCTTGTTGAATGTCTTGTCCCATGAGACTTTTTATTTGTTTCCACCATTTCCGGGGGTTAGTCTGTCCCAGTTCTGCAACTTTATGTTTATAATAATGTGACTTGGCCGCTTTAATTTCCCTTTGAATTTTATTCCTCCAGTGTTTATATATGGACGAGTTTTTACCATGTCTTTGGAATGCGGTTTGGCGTTTTCTGATCCATATGTTGAGTTTATTTGTCATCCATTGGCGATCTGTTTGGTGAACTTTTACTGTACTTATAACGAACTTGGTACGTAACAGTATAGATGAAATGACGCAATGATACTAATTTCAAAATGGCTGTTTACTGAAGGGTGAAACAAAGCAAAATTTGTGAATTTACGATTAAAATTATACATCAAACGCAGTCAAAACAACGTCATTTTACTAGTCTGAATATGGCAAATGTCGATAGTGCATTTTTGGCAAGCATTTGAAGGGTTTCATCATTTTTAAATGATGAAACTATTAAAATATGCAGTATTATGTTATATTATATTATTATATTATATATTATATTATTAGTATTATATTAAAATATGCAGTGGAAACGAAATGATTCGCAATTTTTGACAAGAAAATTATTGACTAATGGCATTGAGAATACTATTATGAAACTATAAAATAATGATTCTTCCACATGTTGCCATTGTAGGTGTATATCGAGTTGTAAGTGTTGATGTTTATGTGCTTGTCAATTTAACATTTTCATTGGTGACTTTAATTAATATAAATTAAAAATGTTGGAAGCGAAACCAGGATTCATAATTAATTGTGTAAACGTTCTCTGGTTAAAAAAGATTTATTTATTAACAAGCTTTCGACTGCCAGTCTGCAGTCTTCGACGGGTAGATTTATAATGTGCTAGTGATATAAGATATGATACAGAGTGAATAGTGCTATACAAGAGCGGTTTACAATTACATTTACTGACAAAAGACAATTACTGACAGTTCCGCCTACGTAAATATATTGTGTAGAATTTAAAGTTTTTTGAGCAAAAAGCGATATTGTTCTGGAAAATGTTTTGAGTTGTTATCAGCGTCTTTCATGCATGCAGTGTGCCAAGACTCTAACGTCGATCTGTGTCGATAGCTTCCCTTGTCAATTATTTTTCCGTTCTTAAAATCAATTCTGTGGTCGTTTGCCCACGCATGATTCGCGATATTAGAGCCACTCTTGCATTTTTTCACGTTTCGTTCGTGCTCTTTTTTTCTTGTTATAAAGGCCCTGCCTGTCTCGCCAACGTAACTCCACGAGCAATCTGAACAGTTAATTTGATAGACGACGTTCGTCTGGTTCTCAGGTAGTGGTCGGTCTTTTGTTGAGGGAAACATTTGTTCTAGAGTGCGGAGAGGTTTCGTAGTTACTCGGATATCGTGAGGTTTCATAATGCGTCTAAGAGGTTCTGTTAGTCCTTTGATGTATGGAAGGACGGCGTAACTGCGATTGGTCTTCGGTTCTATACCAATTCAAAAAACGATCTTACAAGTTCTTCGGGTGGCGGCGTTCTGTTTTCAAACATGACACGTTTCTGTTCAACTTGTTGCAAAAATTTCTTAGGATAACCGTTTGACATTAATGTGTGGGTTACATGTTTGCGTTCTTGTTGTTTGCCTTCCTCTGTGTTCAGTAAATGTAATTGTAAACCGCTCTTGTATAGCACTATTCACTCTGTATCATATCTTATATCACTAGCACATTATAAATCTACCCGTCGAAGACTGCAGACTGGCAGTCGAAAGCTTGTTAATAAATAAATCTTTTTTAACCAGAGAACGTTTACACAATTAATATAAATTAGTTGAATGAAACCAATAGAAGGCTATATAATTTCGTAAGGTTACATAATTTCTTTATCAATGATCATAACTATAGACAATTGGTGTCTGCTTTCATTACAGACAGCAGACTTTGATAGATCATTTTTATACAAATTTAGCAGAGTCAGAAGCTAAGGCAGACATATCGGAAACATTTCTCTTAAAGCACTTAGCAGTTTGTGCATTGAATAATTTCTTTCATTAAAGCAAAGCCAAAGTAATAGTGGCTGCATAAAGAGCAGAGATTCAGCTTTAGATTGGAATATCAATACTTATAGTAACAGTTGCAACCAGTCATAATTATCAACTTGCAGTATATAACTGTATATCCTGGAGGAGGTGCTCCCTTCTTCATCCACCCTGATTTCTGCAACTGAATGTCATTGCCAAGAACACCAGGTAAGCAATTTATATCCCCCTTCCCCTATCAGCAACATATAATCAACAACAACCATATGTCATAATGGGATCTTATTTATAGCACACAATGTACAAAACTAATATAATATTTTGTTTATTGGATTTTCTTCCACGACAAAATATTATTGCATGGATCTTGTATGCTGAATTATATCATTCTATTCGAGAACTATATGCATCGATTATACTTCTAATTTCCATACTTGTCATCATTTGTTACTGATGAATGACTTTCAATATATGACTTATTTTATATATTTACTAGGCATAAACAGTTGATTTGTGTGCCATCAACCCTGACTATGACATTTTCTAAAATGAAATAGATCAATTATAAACAGCAGAAATGTTGATGTTATGTATCAGTTATGTATCAATTATGGTATAAAAAGGCTTTCAAAACTCTGCAAATGTATATTGGCACCACCTGTTATTCTGTCAACTTCTATACATCTACAATGTTCTCGCATGTCTGCTAAAGTTTATTATGAACTATCAAGAAGGTTTGGAACCCGAAATGTTTTGACAAGAACACAGGGATGGATTTACTGGGGGGGGGGGG